CTCAGTGGGTCAGGATTTCGGAAGCAGCTTAGTGCAGTGGTTTTGGCTCAGGATCTCCCAGGTGGCCTTGGCTCTGAGGCCAGAGCCAAGATGTTGCCCTCACAGGCCCTTGTCACATGGACTCCTCTATAGGCTACTAGAGTGTCCTCACGACATGGTACTTAACCTCACTCAGAGGGAGTGATCTCAGAGAGCGAGGCGGCGAGGCGCCTTTCATGGCCTGGTCTCCAAAGTCACATGCCATCCCTTCCATTTTGTCTCCCATTCGTTAGAAAAATTCTGTCCGTGAGTCACTAAGTCTGGCCCGTACTCAAGGGGCTGGCAAGTCAGCTTCTGGGAGGGGAGAGTACCACAGGGTCTGTGAGCGTGTCCTAAAGCCGCCATGGTCCCCGAGAATGGCAATGGCAGGCACGTGAGGGAGGTTCCCCCGGCAGGACGGTGGCGGGACGGCGTGGAGGGCTGTCCCTTCGGAGCAGGAGCTGGAAGTGGCCTCGTTCCCACCGGGGCTCAGTGTCTCTGTTGCCCCGACAGGACCTGTACTATATCTTCATACCCTCAGACATCCGCGACTACGTGATGCTGCGATCGGCCATTCTGGGTGTGCCTGTCCCCGAGGGCCCTGATAAAGGGGACAGGTGAGCAGCAAGCAGGGGCAGGGCGTGGCGATCTCGGTCCTCTCCCACTATCGGGTGGGGAAGGCCGGTGAGGGCAGCAGTAAAATCTCGAGCATTCAGGAGTGCTGGGGGAGTACGCGTTTCAGCGACGCCCAGGAAAGCCCAGGTCACCCCGCTGGCCCCCGGGAACCCTCCTGATGACGTAAGATCGAGGGGCCACTTGTCTGGATGCAGCAGGCCAGCCTGGCTCCTCGGCTTCAGGCTGCTGTCCCGGTACAGGTGAGCAGCAAGCAGGGGCAGGGCGTGGCGATCTCGGTCCTCTCCCACTATCGGGTGGGGAAGGCGGGTGAGGGCAGCAGTAAAATCTCGGAGCATTCAGGAGTGCTGGGGGAGTACGCGTTTCAGCGACGCCCAGGAAAGCCCAGGTCACCCCGCTGGCCCCCGGGAACCCTCCTGATGACGTAAGATCGAGGGGCCACTTGTCTGGATGCAGCAGGCCAGCCTGGCTCCTCGGCTTCAGGCTGCTGTCCCCAGAGCCAACCCAGCCCGGCAGCGTTCGCGCGGCCCGTCCACAGCTGGGTCTGCTGTCCCGTTGAGCACATTGGGTCTAGAAGCGAGAAGGAGGGCCAGCGTCCACGCCACTCATGCTGGTGGGCGAGCAGGCCGCGCCGCCAGCACCCTGTGAAATGGGAACAAAGGGCTCTCTGTCTTGTCTCCCACCTTCCTGGGCAGCAGGCCTGTGCCCAGCTCTTTTGATCCATGCCCTGGCCCTCAGCCGAACCTCCTCTCTGTGGCACGGAGACCTTTTGTCATCCCTGAGTCAGGCCCTTAGCAATCTCTGCCACCCCTGTGTCCCCGAACACCAGCCCTCCAATCTCAGTGCCCCGCCCCCAGCCCAACCTGAAGGAGCAGCTTCAGAGGTGGTCCTTGGGATTAACCCTAAAGGTCAGGCAAGCATCCACCTCCCCACCCTGCGCCCAGCCCCCGCCTCTTGATTACCCAACAATTGCTCACAATGCTGCAGCTGGTCACCAGGGCAGGCTTTGTGACATGGGCGGGGAACTGGGCTCTTGGCGGGGCTGGCTCAGACACCTGGGGCAGACAGACATAAGCCTCCCCAACACCAATGAGCTCCCCCTCCCAGACCCCTAACCCATCCCCCACCCAATCCCCCTCCCAGTCCCGGTCCAACCACAACCCTAGCCAGCAACCCTACCCTGGTGGCCCGGCCCCTTCCCCTTCCGCTACCCGGGGGTCTTCCTCCCGCCCCCCTCCCAGCCTCCCACCCCGAATGCCTCACAACCCTCCTCCAGGGCTTCCTCCCTGACCCCCAGCCCTCACATCCCTCATGTGCCCCGAGGATCCACCCCAAACCCCACTCCACCCACCTCCAAATCTCCCTCCCAATCTGCCTTGAAGTCCATCTCTCGAAACGCTTCCCAGACGCCCCCGGTGCCCCTGGCCAGGTCCTCCTCCCACAGCTCTGCCTCCTACATCGGGCCCGTCCGGGGCATCCCCTCCTGCATTACCCCCTACGTGCCCAGCTTCCTGAAGGAGCCCCCCTTCTTCCAGCCCCCCACAGCTCCACTGCCCCAGTTCTGCTTCCCCAGCCCGGTCAGCAAGCACACCCCTGTCCCCGAGTCCCTCTACTTCCCTCTCCTCCCGCCCCCGCCCCACCAGCCCCAGGTGAGGTGCAGCTACCCGACGCCCCCCGCCCTGTTCACGCCCCCGTCCTCGCTGACGTACACCCCACCTATCGACGTGCTGGTGAGAGGGAAGCCGCACGTGGTGCCCTCCCTGCTGCCGCCCACCCTCTGATCCCCCGCCGGCGCCCCAGCCCCACCTTCTCGCTCCCCAGCATGCAATACGACAGCCTGGGCCGCTCTGTCCACTTCTTCTCAAAATAGGCCTCAGACCTATTTTGGACCAGAAGCCTCTGCCAGTAAATTCAAGCTACTCCATCCAGACTTCATCAGCTACCTGACACAGAGGTAGGTAGGGGGTGGGGGCCACCACGGCACTGCCCTTCACGCCCCCCACACTGTAACCTGTAGGGAGAGCCACGTGCCGGTTCCAGGCCGACCGCTTGCTCTAACACGCTGATGGTGTCAGTCAAGGTCAGTGGGAAGTGGACAGGAACCTGGAGGACTCCAGGTGTACTGACAGGGTTGTTCCAGAGGCGCAGGCGGGTGTGGAGGTTCCGCAAGGTGCGGGAGGTAATGGGGCTAGGAGAAGCAGAGCCATCATCACCTTCAGGCCCAAACACAGCCAGCCCCAGGGGAGGGAGGAGCCTGGGGACTACGCCTGACCTCACTTCCCTCTGTCCCTGCTACGAGCGGTTCTCAGCGGCAAGGAGGGTCATCTGTCCCTGTCTGGAGATATGTTGTTGTCCCCAAGGACGCTGCTGTTGTCACGAGGTGCAAGTGCCACTAGGAACAGCCTACAATGCACAGGATGTCCCCGCAACAAATTATATGGCCCTTTTAAATGTCAGTAGTGCCGTGGTCGAGAAACCCTGCTGTAGCCAAGGCCAGCAGCTGAGGCGAAGGGGGCAAGCGGATGTGGGCACTCAGATGCGGGGCACAGGCACAGCCCTGTGCAGCAGACCGAGACGGGCTGAGGGAGGCTTGCCCGGCAAAGCCTGGATGTGAGTCCAGGGCTGAGTCAGGGCCAGCGGTCGTCATACTGTGGCTTCCCTCCCAGACTGTGCACGTGCACATGTGCGCCTTGTCACCACGGTGCCACTCGTAGGAACTGTGCTCCCTGTCCCTCATATGTGGTTCCTGTTTGGCCAAAAGTTTGGGGGTGGAGAAACTTAGGTGTCAGGCCGCATACAAGCCGTTATGCTCTAAGCATGATGGTTACTTAGCCCAGGAGTGTGGGCAGCAGGTTACAGAAAGCAAGTTAAGCTGGACTCAGGCTTCTAGAGAAAGTGGTCTCTCACTGTGGTTCTTCTGGACAGGCCCTGTCCTCTCTCACCCCGCTCTTTTACCTAAGGTGTTATTTCAACTGAAGATTGTTGCATTTAGGAGCTCATGTCGTTTTTTTCCCAACTAGGGATTTGATTGTGCTAGAAAAGTTTCTGGCTTTCCATCCTTTTCGAGTTGGTCATTGTAAAGTGTAATAGCACAACCATCAAGCTAGTGGGCAAGACCTAAACGTCTTGAGTTTTGATGCCTTTTTGCTTCTAGGTTTTTGAAATCCAAGTTGATGAACTCGAATTTTGGAAACCTATATATGCCTAGTACTGGGGCCCTCATGCTGCTGACAGCTTTGCACACCTGTGACCAGGTAAGAGGTCTATTTTCAGGGATTCACAGCAGCAGAGTACGGATGTGAATGGAACCTAATTTGATGCATGGGAAGGGGTGGGAGGGACTGCCACCACCCACCATCCGGGGTGCTTTAAAGGACAGCCCCCAGGCCAGCCCTGCCTGACCCCACACAGCCACCTGCCCCAGCACTGACTTCCTGCACTCCCCCTTCTCCAGGGCTGCAGCTCTATACGGTACTTAAGGCACACGTTGTCAGACGGCTCTTCTGAGAGCAAAATCTTCTCCACGTTTTTGGGTAGGGAACCCTCTTATGAGGGCATTCTAGAAGAGGGGTGGGGCAGCGTGTTCAGCCTTCCACACACACACATCTGAAGTCAGAGACGTTTCCGATGGGAGATGGCCCGCCTGAGCCACAGGGAGAGGGGGAGCAGTTGTTTTCACGGAGAGGCAGTGACTCCCACTGAAGCCAGCCACGCCGCGACCGGTCCCACACCTGTTAAAGCCGGACTCGTGTGTGCATCACAGAAGGGGAAACTGGCAGTGACGGGCTTTTGCCTCACGTTGAGCTAATGATCACGGCTTTAGTCAGACGAGTTCACAGCGCAGCCTGGTCACTCGCTAGCTTGCCACTGGGGACGTTTGGTGACCTGAGCCTGGTCCCCCTGTTGTAAAATGGGGGTAGTACCTACATTAGATTGTAAGGCCGGGGTGAGAATGTGTACAAAGAGCACAGCGCTGGATGTTAGTGACGTCTTCACACAAGGCGTGAGGGGGGAGCAGCGGGGTGGGGGGACTGTGCCTTTCTGAATTCATGTCACCTTACGAGTCTGCATATAGCAGAAGCTCAATAAATGCTCACTCGATGACAATCCTTGTCCAGGTTAGTGCTTATGGATTCATCACAAGCAACTACCAGAAATTTTCTGACCACTACTTCGAACGAAAAAAGATGCCACTGATATTCTACGCAAACCATGACCTGTCCCTGGAGTCCACCCTGTGGAGGGACCTGCACAACGCTGGCATCCTCTGGCTGTACCAGCGCTGACCCTGAAGAGCGGGAGCCCTTTGCTCGAGCAGCTGGGGCCCGCATCCTGGGAAGAAGCCAAAGCCACCTGTCTTTTCAGCCTGTGAGAGCGACTCCCAACTCCCCTAGGCCCACCTCTTCCCTACAGATGACATTAAGGGTGGATTTGTGACTGTCATTGAAGCCTGTTTATTGTGACACCCCATCTTGTCCTTGGCTCAACTGAGAGAACGCCCCTCTGAGCCTGAGACAGACACCCCAACTTTGCTCAAGGAAAAATGGACTGCTCTGCTCTGACTTGTTTTAAAACTGAAGATAACAAACACTCCCAAGACGTGACCGGTCCTCGCCAGCGGGGCAGGCATACTTCACAGCTAGACATCTCGAAGCCAGCAGGTGGGGCTGAGACTCTGACTCTTAGCGGAGAGACTCAGTTAACGAGATCGAACGTTACAGCACCGCACACTCCCCAGCTCCAACCCCGCCGCTGGCATCTACAGCCCCACGCAAACTCCAAAGCAACCCGACTCGATGACATGTCTCAACCACCTTTCTGAGAAGGTGACTGACTTCTGCCCCATGGAGAGGTGGGAGCACAACAGGCAGAATGTAATTTGAAGCTAGATGACTGCATAAACGATGGATAACTGCTCCTCTTTGTGTGTGTTGGGGGGGAGTAGTGCACCATGCGGTATGTAGGTAGCATCGCGATCAGAGAATTCAAGAACCACGGCAAGGTTCTGGGAATCTGATGGGGGCCAACTACACAGAAGGTTGTGTATCTCTGAGGGAAGTCCCGTTAGAGATGTTACCGCCTTGTCACCAAGAGGATGACATCAGGTAACGAACCCTCATTACTGGGTACTGAACATCCTGACTGCAGTAAGTTGAACACAGGGTGACAGGCAGCTAGTTTACTGTCCTGATGAGTAGCAGCCTTCACATTCCGCCGTCTACACTGCCAGGGGCCCTCGGGGGTTTGGGAGTCCACAGGGCTGGCCGGCCAGAGCTTTCCCAAGGCAGCATCAATCACCACGGCCCAGGACCTGGCCTCTGGTTCTGGAAGGCTGATCACGTAAACAGAATGCGCACTTGGTCTTACTGACTAAAGCAGCCGCCCGAGGAAACCAGGGCTTCCTGCCCCCTGGAACCCTCCTACCCACAATACTCTACGCTTCCCTATTCCCATCACGTCTGTAGTTACCAGAACCTGTCAATCCATGAGATTTGAGAAGTGCTAAAGTTATATGTCGGTGGCAACCCATTAGAGGGGAATGAAATCAATTTAGTGGGAAACTTAAGGGGAAAAAAACTAAAAAACTAAAACATTTGATTGCATCCCGTGTACGTTAACCCCAATTATTATTCTGTAAAATCTTTCATTCATATGAGCATGTGTTTACTGAGTCACAGCATAAAATACTGTCCTTAAGTGGGTCTCGTTCTAAAATCCACAATGTGAGTCATTTAAAAAACTTTTTATTTGTGCTTCAAGATGTAAGCTCCAGACACACTGACTTCAAAGAAAATCCACTCTGAGAAATGGTTTTCTAGGCTGAGCACCTGTGTCCCCTTAGTTTCCCGAGGGAATATATACATGTTAATTACCTTTAATGTACAATCATTCAGCCCCAGCCAGACCTGAGCAAAGCCCACACCACCTGAACGGCGGTTTGCCGAATGTTCCTGTTAAGCTCGAACTTCACTAACTGCCAGAAGTTTTCTGGGATAACATCGCTGTCACTCGAATTCTCTGGCTACTTTTGAGGATGAAGTCCAAAGAACTCTACGCTTCTCCTCTGAAGCAGATGTTAGCAGCACTGGGACAGCACCTGTAAAACCAGAGAATCACTGGATATAACAGCCAACTAAGGGACTCAAACTAAAGGCTTAACTTCAATAAGCTAATTTAGAGAAAAGGCAACCACAGAAGCACTCGTTCTAACCCATCATTAGGCTGGTGTGTGTGTCGAGGGCACAGTCGGTACGATCAGACAGTTCTACGCTCCTTTTTGGGAGACGGAGCTTGGAGGGAGCAGCGTCTGCTCAGCGGCCGGTAAAGAACACCCGTGAGGCACTGGGGACGTTTCTATTCACCACCCCCCTCTGGGGCTAAGACTTCACTGTAGACTTCTCCACTTGCTCCCGTGCCCCTTCCACTTGTTTAACCCTAGAGCTTCCTTGGTGACTGAACGAGCGTGACCTTTAACGTGAAGAGCCCACACACGCCTCCCAGTCAACAGAAATGGCCATCTGTGCCGACTTCAAGCCTGGCATTTAAATGCGAACAAAGGCGGACAGCCTCCCTGCCCAGAGCCACTTTGCTCCTTTCTTGCTTACGTGCCAGGCAACCAGCCCTCTGCCGCCCAAGGAGCAGCCCCACACCAGACACTCATTTCGACAGGGCCCAAGCTAACTCTAGGAGAGGTCCCTGGTGCTAACGAAGCACCTGGAACCCAAACAGCTCTGCCAGTGCCACGGTACCCCTTCTTTGCTGAAGGTCGGGATACGGCACAGAAGAAAGACGTCAGAGCCCTTACGCGTGCTCGCTGCCTCAGCTGGCAGACATGTGACATTTCAGCCTGCTCCAAAGAGCACATTAATTTTCTTGAAATATGTGACAAGCGCTCTTTCATTCCACAATAAGCCTAAACCAAACCCGGGTCCCGTGCCCATTTCTGCCACCTCTCATAGCCTGTACCCTCAGAGACCTTAATCGAGGGGCCCAAAGCGAGAGAGCAGCCACAGACTGGTTCTCAAGTTGCAGAGGGGCGATGTGCTAGCCTGAGGTCTCGGCAGGGGACAGAAAACCCCCTTGAGAGACCATTCGATCTGATCCCTGATAAAGCCTGAACTACTTTTAAGAGCACAGAGCCAAACGAACCCGTAAGCCTCAGAACACTGTTCTCCCTCAGTCGAGATTTTCAGACAGGGATAACGAACATCACGGGCTTGCGGGGCTTCTGAGGGACACGTTAAGACAGGAACGGAAAGCTTACGCGCAGCAGGAGAGGGATCGTGTCGCTTGCTTCAGGCAAAACTGCTGTTCTGTCTCTCACCCTGAGATATCTAGAAAAGAAAACAAAGCTATGCTACAGTCTCTCTGCCACTTGGCATAACCCTACCTCTGGGTCGGGGAAGCAAAAACACCCCCCACCTGTTGGGAAGTCTGTCACGCTCGTGAGAAGGACCCCGCCGGGTCCAGCGCGGCTGCCACGTGCTGCTGCTGGTATTTTCCGGAGGATCCGCTTCAGACTGAGCCTGCGACTGTCCTCGGCAGGGAGAAATTGCAAAAGAAAAAACCTATTCAAGAAGAAACATGCGAAGCTCGCTCACGTAGCTCGATTGTAAACCAGGCCTACATTTTCTATAAGCAAACTGGAGAAACCGAGTCTCAGAAATCCAAATTCCACCCAGAAAGGCCCTTCTGTGCCTTCAGACAGGGATAACTTGACATCATCATGGACTCGGCCCCCACCAATCTGCCGGCCCACAGCACGTGAGAGCTACTTTTTTCTTACCAGATTCTGCTTTACTTTCCTTGTGAGAACTCAGTGCTGTGTGCTTCGTTAGAACGTGCTTTCCCTAATGGGCAAAACTGCCTTTCTAGTGCTGCTGTTCCCACCCTCCCAGACCCGGCACCGACGTTTCTTCCCTTGTAAAGCGTCTCCCTCGGCACAGTGTCTCACAGCTAAGAACGGGATATACGCCCTAGCGTTTTTCTAGCCTCAGCAAAGGCCCGAGATTCCTCCTCTCAGCAAACCTACGGCAGGTGAGCCGCACGACGTGTACCTGACGCCAAGGGAAATGACACCGTGCGAGGTCACTTCTCTCTCGCTCACCTCTCTGTACAAAATGATTCTGCAGAGCAAGTATCTGGCTTCCAGTTTTGTAAGACGGAGGATTATATGATCCGCCCCGAGAGCAACTTAAAAATAGCCAGTACTATAATCTCTCTGTAATAAAAATCCCTGAGCTAAAAGTAGATCCAATCATCTAGGGCTCCTACATACCCTCCCTTAAACCGCCACACGATTCTTCGGCCCATCCCAGAGCCATTCTCAATCATGGCTGGCGGTGGGATCCAGAAATGTTGATATTTTAACACTTTGTAGGTGATTCTGACATATAGCCTAGTTTGAAAAACACTAATCATGTCCTACAAATGAAGATACAAACAAGGCTTTGGTGTGGCTGTCTGGTCAACAGCTGAGACTAGTGCCCACATCTCTCAAGTTAGTCTAAAACAGGGCTTCAATCTCAGCACTATTGATGTTTTAGATGGATAGTTCTTTGTCATGGGAGCTGTCTTGTGCATTGTAGGACACTCAAGCAGCATCCAGTAGATCCCAGTAACACCCTCTGCCCCCAGCCGAGAACCACTGGCCTGATCTAATTCAACAAGTATTGTAACAAACACTGTTTGTGAGGCTACTTGGCAAGGAGCAAACGTCCCTTACCTGGGCAATAACAACCCTGAAAGGCCCACATCTCCAAAATCTAGCAGATCAATGCTTAAAGAGAGCATAACCTATGCAACTCCGTGAAAAGAACTAAAAATCTTACCATCTACAGAAATTTCATCACGAAGATCCTTGCACTCAACATCTTAAGATGGCTTTCATGGGACATTTTTCAATGTTCACAGCCAACACCTTTAATCTAAAAGAAATAACACACTTTTCAGTGAAACAATCAAATAGTTATTCTCAAGATTGGTATTTGAAAAGCTGAGCTTCACTCTTGACAAAAGATGTCCTTTCAGACAGGGATAACTTTAAATTACCCTCAGCTCAACCCCATAACAAACATTTCTAAACCCCAGGCAACCAGAACTCATTTTCCAAGGCTCCTTTTCCACCCCTGTATACAGTGGTAACCATCTGCCTTTAAACAGTGACACCTAGTGGCCCCCAAATTATACTAGCACAAGACCCTCCTCATTTCCGGATACGGAATTTATGCCAACATTTGTTCAGAATTGCACCTAACTTCAGAATAAATTACGAGGCCACTGTATGTGACAGGCCTTCACACCCTCTTGGCTTTCTCATTTTTGGTGCCCACCAGGTCATGCCTGCCTGCACGCATTCTTACTCGTTCCAGGGTTCCATTCATTACTTTCAAGCTTCAACCCGAAGGTCTGCTTCTCATCATCTCCGCAGATGCCAAAGGCAGGCCTGGGGGTGGGGAGAAGGGGGTAGGGGGGAGATGAGCATGTAAGGTTTGTCGTAAAAGTACACCTTTCCAAGATCTACAATCCCACTGTTTACTATTTGTATAATTAAATACAAACTACTGATTGGGGCCGTTCTCGAGACACTCCAGGAGGAAGTCAAGTATTCAAACGTTAACTCTTTTAAAGTGAATTAAGAACTGCCACTGTCAGCCAAACTCCAAGGCAGACCCGCGGGCGCTGAGCTCAGGGCCGCTGGGCTGCGTGCGGGGTTGTGCAGGTTGTCAGGACCTCTCTCCCCGAAGGCCCTTCGACGCTGAAGATGGGCTTGAGCTCTCTACCCTCGATCATAAAAACTCGCGCTGTTTAGAAAGCGTTTTCTCAACGAAAACTCCCCAATCACCCTATAAGGAGAGACCGATTTATCGTTACTATTTCACCTCTAAAAGGAGGGGGTAAGTGTACTAGCGCCGCGCCATGGAAGACCCCGTTTTCCCACCTCCGCAGCCTTACCACTGCCAAAGGCCTGAGGCTGCTCGCTCGGAACAGAAGCCTCCATGACTTCCACCATGTGGCCGGCCTCGAAAAGGAAGGGGAACCGCGCCTGCGCATAAGTCTTCTCGGCAGCCTCGCTGGGGTTCTCGCGATGATGAAAAGAGGCTGATGGGAAATGTAGTCCAAATGACAGCCAGCGGGTAGCCGCGTTCTCAGCGTGACTCAGGAGCAGGCCACGGGCAGTAGAGGAGTGAGGGTGGAGGCCTGATGTGTGAAAAGCCAGGGCCGTTAAAAAATGAAGATGGACGGTCGCTTAAGCTACTGAGTGCACAGATTGTCCCTGGCCGAGACTGAGGCGGGCGGGGGAGGAGGGGCGCGCAGAAAGTTCAAGGGGGCCTCAGGAGGGGACCCATGAGGAAACTGAGGTACGGCCAGAGTTCTCAATTGCTCTGTGGATTTCATTTGTGGACGGGGAGGGGTCGTTGGGGCGATTGGTTGCTTTAGTGAAGGCGAGGGAGAGTCCCGGGGAACGGTTCGGCGTCCCGCTCAGCCGCCCTTAAAGTTGGGGCGAGAGCGGTGAGGCCCCGGCGGCAGAGGGCGCCCGAGAGCGACGGGCCGGGGCTGCGCCAAATTACCCGAACCCGGGATGCGAGCCTGGGGATGCGAGCCGGGACCCGCTGCTGGTGTGCGACTCTAACGCCGAGAAGGAAAAATCGTCACATTAGGAAAAGAACAAAATAATGTAGCACCCACTGCTACTTCTGAATGTTATTTTTCAGTCAACCATCCTGGCTTCATTTTTGAAATAACAATAGGACAAAACAACTAGAGTCGGGGCCGGAATTTATGCCTGTTTGGAAATTAGTTTAAATTTGCAGGACACGAAGCCTTTTCTGCATCAGTCTCTCCCCATTCTCGTCAACCCTTTAGTTTGTGCCATTTAGTTTGAATTATATTCTGTATCTGGTAATATGTTGCAGGTGCTTATTTTCAAGTTATCGCATGTGTTTGCGTTTGACTCCCTTAATTTGTAAGCTCTTCGAGGCAGAAATCTCTTTTAATTGTTACTTTTTTCTTTTTAATTTCCTCGCAGTGCCTCGTTGGTATTCGGTGGCCTCTGCTCACAGTTAAGTACTCAACAAATAATCATTAACTCACTTAGCAATAACTTCTGTCTTGTGAAGCTGGTCATTAAGTGTTTCTGTCTTACTCTTGAAGACATTCTTTTGTATCATACTGAAAGGAAGAAACAGCTCCTTTCATTTCCAATCCGCAGAGGGAATTCTAAGTGTGGGATTTGCCGAAAGCGGTTGTGAAACTACTGTAGTAGGCAAGTAACCTGCAGGCAGAACAATAATGATAAGTGATATTTCACACAGTGTCAATAGGTGATATTCGTACAGTATCAGTGATAGGTGATACTTACTTATGTGCCATTCCCACTTTACGGAGAGCACTGTTCCGATCCCCGTATACAGATGAGGTGACAGAAGCATTGAGAGATTAGGTGACCTGTCCAAATTCGCACATATACCTGGTAGAGTCAGGGTTTGATCTCAGCCTGCGGAGGCTATGCTTTTACCACTAAGTCGTACTGCACCATGCATCTATAAATTGATCTTCTATCTAAGGGGTTTTGATTTGAAGGAAGTGGAAATGGGAGGACAGAATCGGTTTTTGTGTTTTTGCGAGGGTGGTTAAGGATGAAATTAGAGATGAGGTTGAAGGGGGGAAGATGATGGACACCTGTTTCTGTGTTTTGAGACACTTTATGGCCAGAAGGGTGAGGATGAGAGGCTGCAGGAGCTGATCTGTGAAAGATTATAAGGCTCTGGGCTCCAGCAGGGCTGTCTTGGGTCCCAGATTAGTTGCCACTCTGTGTGCAGTGAGGGCCATTCTACACAGCTCAAGAAGGGCCACTGTGCCATAGGCCCCAGTGTGGCTTTCACACATGACAGAGTACTTGGTGGAACAGCAGCAGGCTCCCAGCACATGGGGGTGTCACAGGCTGCTGGGCAGTGGCCAAGAGGCCAGAGCAAAATGCAGTGGGAGACCTTGTGTCTGAGCGCATGTCAGGTACACTATGAAAGCCATCGAGAAATAACTGCGGGAGGCTTCAAAGCATGCATCTGAATTCCCGAATGAGCGAGCGAGGGCTCAGAGCCGTCCAGACTGAGCGTTAATGGTGTTTTGACTTCATTCGCACCCCGTTGCTGGTGAGGTCTAGAATTTTTAAGTTTTACATATGGTAGAATTATTCTATAGCTATTATTCAACCGAGTATAGATCTATATTTATCAACATGGAATGCGCTCCACAGTCTAGTGGTAAGTGACAGAAGTAGATCACAAGCCGAGCAGAGCAGAAGTCCCCAGTGCTGCTCGGGGACCCCAGCTCTGAGTGCAAAGGGGAAATCTGGTCAGCTGGCTGCTGTGTTCAGGTGGTCAGCTCAACCAGTTCCATTCAGTGACAGGGTTTAAGACATGGTATCCAAAACCGACACAGTAATAGAAAACAGAGTCTTTGGAACATGGAAGTCAAATTCTTAACCTGGAAAGGAATCTTTAATTTTATTAATAAGAACACGAAGGAGAATAAGTATATCCCAAACAGTTGGCTGCTTATGTCAGGAACAGTCGCCTGCTTATGTCATGAAAACAACATCCTCTCCTTTTGTGTGGCAGGCACTAGTGGCCAGTCCCGTAGCTGTCCTTCCTCCGTATTATAGACAGAACAGACTGCAGCTGGGCAGCCCTGTGCTTCAGGCGCGGCAGGTCCCTCCCCAGCCCTAAGGGGGGGTCTCGATTAGTCTGCACCAGACCCACAGGATAAATCAATCCCTTTGCCAGTAATTGTTTTAGGACAGATCTGCAATGCCGGTCTGCCAAGTTCAGGGAAGTTTTCTCGTTTTTTGAAAACAACATCCTCTCCTTGCTTTGGGACCTCGTGAAGATGTGACGCTTGTGACTGCAGCAGCCATCTTGCATCTGTGAGGCTCGTTTCAAAGCAAGAGTAGAAAGAAAGAAAGTGAGTCCTTCATGATGCTTTTGAACCACTGAAATGACCAGCCCTGAAGCCCCCTCTTTTCAAATCCTTCGTTCCGATTCAGAGGCACATATTTTCACATTTTAGCAGCTAATGTGTATTAAGTGTTTGCTCCCGGCCAGGCATTCTCTAAGCACCTTTTTTTTTTTTTTTGAAACCATGTATTGAGATCATGATTGACATACAAAACCATGATTGACATACAAAAAGCTGTACATATTCGATGGATACACTTGACTGTGAGCACCTTTATGTGCTGTCTCATTTGACTGTCACAACAGCCCTGTTATTCCCCCATCTTGCCGCCGAGGAAGCCAAGTGCAGAAAGGGAAATGTCATTAGTAAGTGGAAGCATCCAGATCTGAACTCAGACAATCCAGCCTCAAAACCTGCGGTCTTAACCACCGTGCTGGGTTTCCTGAAAAGCTAACACTGTCGACAGTGGAACATTTTGCATGGGTTTTTAAAAAATAGATGAGCTTGAAGAACATGGAGTATTCTATTGACCTCTTCTGCTGTTTTCTGGACATGTGTGTGCTTTCCCAGAAACCCCTGCCCCCTCGCAGCTGTCACACGGCCTTCGTTCATGTTATCTGTTCCCTTTGCCTTGAAATTTCCTTCCCCTCGTCCTCTTCTCTGCTTAGCAAATCCCAGGTCATAATTCAGATACTGCCTCCTCTGCGAGGTCTTACCTAAGACGCTGGGACAGTCCCCGACCCCTTTCCTCAGTGTCCCTGTGGCAGGCCGGTCTGGCACGTGCTCTGCAGCCAGGCCGACCCGGAGTGGGGGCCTGGCTCTGGTGATTCTAGCTGAGGCACCTTGGGCAAATGACTGCCCCTCTCCCGAAGCCTCACTGTCTTACCCGGGACACGAGGCTGCCCATCCGAACCTCTTGGGACTGTCAGGGTGCTCAGGCAGAGCGCCTGGCATGGACCTGGCACCAGGGGAGCACGTAGTACACAGAACTCTCAGCGTGTGAACATACTTCTTTTAATAGCCACTGTTTCACGATTATTTGTTTTCATGTCTGGCTTTTGTACGTGTCTGCCAGCAAGACAAGGATCAGGTGTTCATTCTTTTTTTGTTTTTTAACTCTTTCGATCACCTTTATTGAGGCATAATTTACATACAATAAAGTCCATTCATTTAAAATGTACAGTTCAGTAGTTCAACATGTGTTTACACCTATGTGTCCACAACCCCAGTCACGGTTTAGAACGTCATCACTGCAGAAAGCACCTTCACACCGTTTCGGAGTCAGTCTCCTATCTATCCAGCCTTGGCCCCGGACAGCCACCTGTCCGCTTTCTGTCACTGTGGACTAGTTTGGCCTGTCCTGAAATTTCATACAAACAGATTCATACGGCAGGTACCCTCTGTGTCTGGCTTCTCGGTGTTCCCCGTGTGTGGCTTACATCAGCAGATCATTTTTATTGCCGACTAGTATTCCATTGTATGAATGTACCACTGTTTGTTCATCCATTCACATATTGGTGGATACTTAGGTCATTTTCAATTTGGGGCTATTACTAATAAAGATGCTGTGAACATTTTTGTACAGCTCGTTTTGTGGGCATACGTTTTCATCCTTCTTGGATGAATTCATGAGAAACTGCCAAACCGGTTTGCCAAGTGGATGTGACACTGTACGCAACCCCAGCAACGCACACAGGGTTGCGGTTGCCCTCACCCTCGGCGACACCGATCACGGTCAGTCGTTAATTTGAACCAATCCGGTGGGTGTGCAGAGAAGGACGTGGGTGTCTTGATTTGCATTTCCCTGATGACTTACCGTGTTCAGCATCATTCTATGTGTTCACTGGCCATAGGTATACTTTTCTGTGAAGTGTCTATTAAAAAACCCTTTTTATAAGTCCTCTTCTTGATATCAACTTGTAAAAGTCCTTGATATATTCTGGCTACAGATCCTTTCTCAGATCTTTGCTTGGCAAATATTTTCTCCCAGTCCTAAGAATTTTGATGAAGTCCAGTTAATCCGTTTTTCTTTCACGGTTAGTGCATTTTGTGTTCTACCGAGAGGGCTTTTCTTCCTCCATCGACTCGGCTTCATTGCATCTGTTTTTGGCTCCTGTCGATCTGTGCGGTAACCCTTAGGGACTCCGCACCGTCTGAGTTCTGATCTCGTCTCTTCACCCGGTGACACCACTGTGGTCCACGTGGTTCCCCCACCCCACGCCACAGGCAGGCACTGTCCGAGGCAGATGCGGAGGCAGCCGTGGGGTCACTATTCCATGTGCCGCCCGTTGTCAAGTGTCTGTTTCTTTTATTTTGCGCAGTTTTCTGGTTGTTTGCGGCAGGAAGTTGTAATATATTTTGTACCCACAGTAACTGGCACACTGGCCCAGCAGAGTGTTTCTGGAGTGGGGGAGTCTTTCCTAGCACCTCCAGGCACAGTCCCTTTTAGTCTCTTTTGATTGGGAGAACTACGGGGCCCCCAGCGGTCCAGCCCCATCATTTCATTAGGCGGTTCTTTTGCCGAAGATGGGCGTTAGTTCTTTACGTCCTCAGCGCCAGCTCACCCGAGTTCAACATATATTTATTAAGTGGGGAAGTCGAGTCCGCAGAAAGAAAGGTCATGTGACCAGGCAGCTGCTCAGCTGGCAGAATTGCAATTCCAAGGCGGGGACTTTCCGTGGCACTAACTGGCAGGGCAGGCACAGTCCCTGTCACCACCGTATCACACCCAACACACATCTGACAATGCACACTGTAGGCTGCCAGTGCGTGCTTGTTATCAGTTGAATAAATTAAATCATTTCTTTTAATGCTTAAGTCAGCTGGCTTCTGCATGTGGTATTAAATGTGCCAGTGCGTGTGTGTCTTTGTGCGCGTGTGCGCGTGCACGCACGTGGAGCAGGGAGTGACCATTTCTACCCAGGCTCATAGGTCATGTAAATCTTTTTTTGTTTTGATTTTCTCAGCCACTCTCTAGTCTTAGTCCCCACTAGGGGGCGTATGTACCCCACGTAGATGGCCTGTAGTCACTAGGTTCAAGGACTTGTTTCCAGCTTAAGTCAGTAGGTGCCTTTCGAAGCCACTTCCTTGGTCTCCATGCCCTGAGCCTTCCCCCTGTAAAAAAAAAAAAATAAGAAAGAAAGAAACCTTCCTGTTCAAGCTCCCCATCATCCCTCCCCGGGGTCAAAGGAGGCAACAGAGTGGCAGTGGCCGTGGTTGTGAGCGATGACCTCACTGTCACTCCTGACAGCGGCCACTGCTTCCTCTCTGGGAGGGATGACAGACCCTGGAGAGGCAGCTGTCCTCACTCCCCTTGACTGGCAGGCAAGGTCTAGGCTTTCAGGGCCCTGAGTCCGGTCTGCCCTTGAAAGATGAGTTCCTGAGGAGAGCGGCTGGGAATAACCCTGGCAGACCCCCCCAGCCCACCTGCAAAGGTGTCGCCAGGGTGGGGCCAAGCTCTCATTCATGTGCCCTGGGAGAGTGGTCACACCTGACTCTAGACTCAGGTCTCCTGTGTCCCAGCAGCTTCACAACTGTATAAGTGTTGCCCAAGTGCGTGCCGGTCCTGGGTTCACTATTAGCTGTGAGTGACCTTGAGCAAAGTCTGTGAACTTCACTTTCCTTATTGGGTAAGTGAGGATAACAACGTTCCTGCCTCATTAACAAGACAATGCTCACAAAGAAAGCACTTGGCACAGTGCCTAGCACGGAATAAATGTTTGAGACATGTTAGCCATCATTAATAATATTAGTAGTATTGTCATCATAGTGCAAGCCACTTGGCCGTTCTCCTTTTGAGGCTCCCAAAGGTGGTCTTGGGCTTCTTCTTAACAGCGAGGCCCCTGCAGAGGGGCGCTGGGAGCCATCGGGACCAGTGGGGTGCCCTGCCCTCAGGCCGTTGTGCCAGCCTTAGCTCAGGCACATGCCCACTCTGTCTTAGACCAGAGCCTCTGCTGTACACCCTCATCCGGGACCATCCTGCCCACTTTGGGGACGGGCAAGTACTCCCCGAGGGCACATCTGCACCCAAGGGCGACTCAGGACAGGAACAGCTGCTTCGGCCACTTCCCTCCCACCCCCACCTCATCAGCTCTCTGGTCATGTTCCAGGCTCCGGGAGAGACTGGCGGGAACCCTGAGTCTCAGCCGCAGAAGTGGCAGACAGCAGCACCTCCCTGGTCCCGGCTGCTGCCCTCGGCCACCCTGCAGCTCAGAGCAGCCTTTTCCCTGTCACTCAGGCTCCCACCAGCGGAGAGATTAGCATTCAGGCGGAGGATGGAGGAGCGTCAGGGCAGCCACCTCCTGTCTCCTCTGGGAGCTGACGCTCAAAGCCAGTCGCCTGGGGGACGTGGCCAGGCCGAGACCCCACTGGAGGTTGGGACAGGGCCCTGGGCACACAGAGGCAACAGTACTGCCCCGTTGTACATCTTACTGGGTGCCGGTTCTTCCTAGGTGTCCCCATCCAGCAACTGCCACCTCTGCTGTTTCAGAATTCCCCACCGCCCAGCGACTGTGTATGTGGACAGACAGGGCGGGAAGGGCCGCGGGGTGAGGAGGTGAGCGCCTGGAGCTGCTTGGAGCCTACTGCTTGTTCTGAAATTCCTAATTCAGTAACTGACAGTTCATAAATAATCACACTCGTTCGCATATGTTAAACACGTGGCATGCTGAGCACTGTACACCCATTATCTAATTTAACCCTCACAGCAGCTCTGTGCGATGGGCCAGGAGCGAACCAGCTCCCGGCCTCAGTTCCATCTCCTGGTCCCCTCCCGCCTGTTGTGGTCAGTCTACCAGGACCCCAAACTTCTAAGCGGTGGCTCTTTCTAAGGAAACGGGAGGGGAGAAGGACTCAGCCTCTAGGGGACATTGTCCCGTCCCTGACATGGGCCCCGGGCCAACCCCTGTACGGGGAGGCAGCGGGCAGGGTCTGCGGGGCCCCCTGCAGAGTTCCGGGGCTGAGGGCGGCAGCTCTCAGCGCAGACTGTGCAGAGCGCAGGGGTGGGAGCTGGGAACGAGAGGCGAGTGGGCTGGGTACGTGGGGAGCGTAAACACAGTCTGCTCCCACCCCAGCAGCCTGCTCCCACCCCAGCAGCCTGCTCCCCAGGAGGGAGCCCCCTCCCAGCCCACATGGCCCCCAGCCACCAGCCCCGCAGCCCCCTCCTCTT